ATAGAACAATGCCATTGGCAACCTCTTTCTTCCTCATGTCTATCTCCTTCTGCAACTGGGGCATGAATTTCTGCATCCTGGCATGCCAAGCTTGCATGGCCTCTTCAGGCCACCCAATGGCAGCAGGGCCATGTCCAGACAACATGGCAACCTCCATTTCCAAGTATGCCATGATATACCATCCACACAGATTGGAGCCAACAGGCTGCCTGATGCATGCATTGGCTCTGTCCAATGGAGGCCTGATCAAGAAGTCCTCATCCACGATTTCGTTGTTCAAAAGCCATGCCAAAATTGCATGTGCCTTGTGCAAGCATGGCTCACTCATAGTTGTCAGTGTCTCATAATATCTGATCTGCTGCTGCTTGGATATGCCTGGCCTCAAATCCACTACCAGGAGCACAATATGGTAACCAGCAGCAAATGGCATGAGAAAGCATTTGGCCTCAGGGTGGTAAAAAAAAGAAAAGTCAACCAAACAATGATCAACAAATGCAACCCTGCTGCGCCTTGCCCTTCATCTTCTTCAGCACATATGAACTGATGCCCTCTTGGTTCATGTATTGAGCATCCTCAGACAGAATGCCATGCAGCGCAGTTGGATGGATGAACTCCACATCCTGGATGCCTCCCATGGTTTTCTTTGTAGCCATCCATCTAATGAGACCATAAGCAATGGCCACAGTCTCAATGTCCACATCTGAATGGTCTTTCCTCAGATCAGCCAATGAAAAAAAAACATGCTCAGCACAGACCGGACTAATAAGGGGGGGTAAACAAATGGGTCCAAAAATGCTAACTAATGTTAGCACAAAAGCTTGATAGCTTCCAGCTCACCCCATGAATCCAGCAATGCAGGGTCTTCAAATATGATCCCTGCATCTAGCAGGATCTCTTGCTTGTGCCATCTCTGCAATGTCAGCTGGGGCCATTTCCATTGCTTCTTATCCCCTTCCACTGGCTCCAGGTAGCTCCTATCCACCCATGCAGTCCTATTCTTTTTATGAAGCCCATCAGCTTCAAGGAGCACATGCAATGCTTTCTCTGATGCCCCCATGGCAGTGCCTTGCCTACCAAACAATGAAGAGCCAGCATGCTCACTCACCACTCTCAGCTTGGAAGAAGGAATGTCCAACTCATGCTCTTCCAATGGCGCTGGGGGGGAGGGGGCTCATCAGGCAATGGCTCTGCTTTGGCTGGATGTGAAGCTAATGCCTTGGGCTGCTGCTGCTTATCCTCAATCTTCTCTTTGGCTTTGGTGGCAGCCATCTTTCTGATTTTGTCTTTGAGCTGATTGTTCATCATCTTCTTTGCAAGTTTTTTCTTCTTCACTGTGTTCTTCTTCTTTTTTGTGGATGCTGATGGCACTTGGGCAATCAATTGCTCATGTCTGCTATCAGTCATCAAAGCCTTCTTGATCTCCTCCTTCTCATCAGCTTCCAATTTCTTTGCTTGCTTTCTCTCCTCTTTTCTCTTTGCCTTCTTTGCTTTCATCTTGTCTCTTTGTTTTCTGGCCTCATCACTCATCTGCATGTCTTTCAGCATGGCTTTTCTTCTCAAATCCAATGGCAGCTGAAACTCACCAGCCTGCACCCATTCTGGCATGTCCTCATCCTCGAGAGCTGGCATGTCAGCTTCTAATGGTGTGGGCTGTGCATAATCCCATTCTATGAGATCACTCAGCTCTTTGGCTCCATCTATCCTCTCCCAATTGGGCTCATTGATTCTGCAGCCTTCATCAAGAACATGCGCCAATCTATTGTCCAGCCATGTTTTGCTGATCCTCTTGGATCCCAATGGCTTGTCTTTGGCCCAATCTTCTTCACCACACCATCTCATCTTACCTGTGGCATCAGGTCTGACTACAAGGAATCCATTGCGTCTGAGGCCAGCCAAAACCCATGCTTTCTCCTCATTGGCCTCCACCATTTGCTGCATAGCAGCATCTACAGCAAAAGCTATGTCCAGGTTGCTGATCTTAGGCAATTCTGTGGAATCTCTCTGCATGGCCTCCACCTTCTCATCAATGTGTGATTTCACAGCTGCCTTGAACTGATGGCTGAAATCTGTATCTGTCAGCTGCATGGCACTGCTCATCTTTGCCTGTATTGTTGAGTGTGCTTGATGAGATAAATATCTCATCTTTGTGGTGCTATCACTGAATGCTGCCCCATATGCATCACGTTGGTAGAGTGACACTGGCATCTCATGTGCACTGTCTTGAATGTTCCATGCCATGCAGATGCTGTCCATGTTGCACGATGGTTGTGACATAACTGTGAAATGCCGAAAAAGATGTGGATGGGATGCTCGAATCTTTCTCCATCCTTCCAATGCTCTCCCACACTTCTCACCAGCAATGTGCTTTCTGATTCTGCCAGCATATTCAATTGTCTCATCATGCAGCCATCTGTCATCAGGCCCAATGTTGGACAATCTTGCATGTTGCCCTGCCACTACCAAAATTCCTCTGGCAACATGTCCTTGAGGTTCTGCATTT